CAAAACAGTCCCATAAAAAAAGTCCGAAACATCAAAAAAGGCTCTAAAAACAGTCCCATACAAAACAGTCCAAAACCAGTTGAATTTCTTGGCCTTGATCTTTTGGCGCCGACAGAATTGATCTACGCTTTGAAAATTCAAACAGGGGCAATTAAAGATCAAAGAGCCAAAGTTGGAACAATAATTCGGATGAAAATCAAAGCACTCAACGGATAGTGGTTAAAGCGTTAGACTCAAACTCTGGAGATAACGTTGGGTTGACATGACTTAATCATAGTGATCAAATTTTTGTCGAGTTTTTGATATTCAGCTTTTTTGGGTCTGGCTACTTTTTGTCCTGCGCACATTGTTTCCAACAGTATTTCCGCATTTTTTTGCTCGTCCTGGAACTTCTCGATCAGTTTTGGGAAGGATGGATGCTTACTATTGACCAGTTTCACGAAATTGCTGTTCCAACCTTCTACAGCGTTGTTGGTGCGGGGAAGGTCGTTTTTTACTCTTTGATGGCAACTCTATTGCTCCATATCAAATCTGGGCTTCTGTCGTCCTTGAGAAGTCAGTCTACCAAAATATGTGTCCTCGAAATAATTGAAAATCGGTTGACTTTCTTCAGATGCCATACCTTGCAGAAGCTCGAAAGCTGTGGGGACTACGGGCAGAAATGCTGTTGCGAGAAGCATTCGAATAAGTTCGCGAAAATTAAGAACACTGTTGTAATTGTGAGTATTGCCTGACGACTTAACATGTCGCCAGACACTTTGACTCATATGAAAACTGAATTTGAGCACTCTGATGGGTAGCTATTATTGAGTTTCGTACAGCTACTTCAAAATCAATTGTGACGTGTTTTGTGACGTTAAGAAGGAACTGCTCTCCATCGTGGGTTTTCTGTAGAGCCAGTGGTAGTTCAAAGCCAGTCAGCGATGTTGGCTCTGCCATCTTTGGTCTTTTTTCGCGTCGAACTCTATTTACAGCTTGCTGATTAGCAGACTAACTAGGTAAATGAACAGCTGTTTCTCGGTTCACATCACGTTGGGCTGCGAAAATAGTCTGTCGCGGTGTTACATCGGATACTGCTGCTCGATCTTTAAGTGTTTATCTGAACTTACGTTTTTCGATGTCAGCTGGATCGGGGAAGTGGCAGTGATCTTTAACGATCTCAACGGAGTCGTCCTTTGTACCATGTTGTCTGCCAGTGTTCTGTGTTTAATATAAGCATACCCTTCAAAAATCAGTAACTCAGAATTTTTGTTTGTAAGTATGATTTCCATCGATAGATAGTGAATTTCGTTTCTATTGAGTGTTGTCAAGTGTTTGCAAATGAAACAGATTGAACAACCTGTCTTTTTTTGCTTGGATTAAAAAAAGAGTCCATTTTCTTAAATTGCGTTAACTTTAATGTTTCGAATATTATTGTTTTTATTGAGTGGCCGCTGCTGTTATCTAGGTTGTTCTAATTTCTCTACTATACTACCTATTGTTATCCGGATTAGTTGGAATCAAAATGTGTTTAATATGAGATAAATTTACTTATCAGCTTCTAGAGCAAATATCACTTCGATCAATGGGACTGTTTTTTGGACTATTTTTGGGACTGTTTTGTATTGGACTGTTTTGTATGGGACTGTTTTGTACAGACACGCACTGAACCATATCGTACCAGGAAGACGACAAGTCAGGCAAGGCGGAGACTTCAAAGCCGAAATTATCAAAACTAGCCAAGTTTTCAGAGCCGAAGTTATTAAAACCAGATCAGTCTAACACCGACGAATTAGAGATATCCGCGCGTGACGAAGACATTCAGGATGAGGAGCCAATACCCGCTAAAAGCGTTCAAAGGCAGGGGAGAGTTGCGAGCCAAACAAAAGGGAAGTCGAACCAAACACCGGAGCAGACGCCGATATCAGAAGGGACAAGTACGACGAGGGCTTCAAACAGGGGTAAACGTTAGAAAAGATTCTTTGGCAGTCCACTTCGTCATGCTGTAAAATCAGTTGAGGCAGGAGAGTTACCAGAGCCATCAGGTGAGCTGGCCCAACCAGAAGTTTCGGCGATGTCAAACCGAGCAAAGCTTATTCCAGTATCACCGGGAGCATTGTCATTCAGCCCGACAAGATCACCTAAGAGACATAAAATTAATCAATAAGCAATACTGAAACCTAAACAAGTGCACAAAAGACACGAAAACTTAAGACAAAACTCAAAACTTTTGAAATGATTTTGTGTGTTATTTGTTTTAAACATGGGTTTAAGAAAGTTAAAAAAGTCAGAAGGGGGAAATGACATACGGCGTAGTATCCGTATTGAAGGTCACATTACGATCTGAACAATCTAAGCTATTAATGTAATTTTAAGTACATGCCTATCCATGGAAATTCTCACTTGTGCTAATAACACTCCCTCTTACGATGTTGAAAGATTACAGCCGTACATAAATATTAATATTTAGATAACCAAGTGATATTCAATTAATCCATTGTTTTTTTAGATTGTTTTCTATGTAAGTTCAAGGACAATCGTATCGGTTATCTCAAGACCCATCGTTTATCATCCATGATTCATGAACAAAACCTAACGACGAATGCCTTCGTTTCGACTCTTGATTTAAATTATTCGCAACGAATAGGATGCGAGTGGTTTGAACTGATTCGGTGACGTCACATTGCGTTAGCTCTGTGGGTTCCGTGATATCTATGGCTGGCTCGTGAGAAATTGCGTAGCCCTGGACTAATGACTTGATTGGAACGAAAGTATAGATTGTAAGGTGGGTAGCTAGGCAAGTTGACACCCTTGAAAATCATACTGCTGGTTAACCGGCACCTTATCAAGGGCAATTATGGCTTAAAAGCGACAGAGAGGTGTAGGGGGGAAATTTTTAAAACGCAAATTGAGGTATAATGTCTTGATAGACAAGCTGCACAGATTCCTCCGATTCAACTTAATGTTTGCCACTATTGTTGATTATCTGAAGAACTTTTCTGGCGATATAAGCATTGCTCTATGATTGCAAGAATATCAAATGTGTAGATAGGCTGATATAGCTGGGGGCTATTCTCATGCGCGAAGGACCGAATGGGCGAAAAAAACTCGTGATCGAAGGACCCGAAAACAAAATTAGCCGAAAGTCAATTTTAAAAAAAAAGCAATTGCCATTTAATTAAAATGAATTAAATGAAGCAATATTTTGCTTATTTCATTACGAAACCCTTGAAATATGAAATTTGTTCCAATTCGGCGGCGGTCAGTGACAATTTGAAAATTTTCCATATTTCTGCAGTTTTTATATTCGGCCAATATCAATATTCAGTCCCTGGAACTGTGTGCTTCCAAATTTTAGATTACTGAAATCTGATTGACTGACTTTTATTTTCGCGCATTCGGTCCTTCGCGTATGAGGGATTCCACCGATATACAGTGCTGATTTAAATTAACCGGACAAAACGCGTTAAACTTGAAATTTATAACGCATTTTCCTCAAATTGGGTTGAGTTTACCTGAAAACTTATGAAGACAAAACTTGCTTAAATTTTTAGCAGAATTAAAATGGTGTAACTTATTTTGGGAAATTCGGGTCCGAAATTTAACCCAAAAATGGGTCATTTTGGCTTTTCTTAGTTAATCAAAAATTACACTGAAAATATCCAGTCGATCGCAGACATAATCAAATCAAAGTGAGCCCCTTACGTAGCCCAACAAACTTTATGCAGAGTATTTTCTCCAAAAAAAAGTTTCATATTGTTTAAAAACTGTTTTTAAATAAAAAGTTCGTATTTTATGTAGTAAAACGACCTTTTTTGTCTATCAAACAAAAATATATTAACTTATACAATATTTTGGAGATTATACCTTGCATAAAGTTTGTTGGGCTACGTAAGGGGCTCACTTTGATATAATTATGTCTAAGATCGACTGGGTATTTTCGGTGTAATTTTTGATTAATTAAGAAAAGCCAAAATGACCCATTTTTGGGGTAAAATTTCGGACCCGAATTTCCCAAAACAAGTTACACCATTTTAATTCTGCTAAAACTTTAAGCAAGTTTTGTCTTCATAAGTTTTCAGGTAAACTCAACCCAATTTGAGGAAAACGCGTTTTAAATTTCAAGTTTAACGCGTTTTGTCCGCTTAATTTAAATCAGCACTGTAGCTGAGAATAATCAGGGGCCGTGTATCGACTAGCATAAAACTCGACTAGCATAAAGTTTAAAAAAAGAAAATCGTATTGATTAGCATAAAAACCGAAACAAATTTCTTTATTGTCACAACTCAAATCATTTTCACAAAAAATATCATAAGAATCACAGCTTTTCCACGCATTTCTCAACTTGCGGGGCAATCAGTTTCCGGTTCAAGCTATTACAGGTCGGGGTGTGACATACGACTGATCGCAATTTATGTAATAAGTAATAGTAATTTAATTTGCTTGTTGTTTGATTTATTTCTCAATTTTTTATTTCTCGGGAATTCAAGTTTCAATTTGAAAGGATTATGATTGCTGATTCGTATTTCTGTGAATTAACTTAAATTACCTTAGTATACAATGAAAATTTTCACCTTCCGCATGATTTTGGAACAATGAACAAATTGCTGGTGTAATTATATTTTTACTAATAAAAAACAAGTGATTTTAGCGTACACAACTAACGATAGTAAAATAAAAATGATACAATGAAAATTGACAAATATAGTCGATCAAAGACGGAATTTATTGCTTCGAAAAAAGTAATCTTAAATAGTAACCTCAAAAATTACCGAAAACTTGTAATCCGTTCTAATTTTTTTGATACAGACAACGAATTTTTAAAAGTGAAATATAATCGAAGATTATCTATGAAATTTCCAGTGCGCATATTAGCTTCATTTTATGATAAGATGAAATGCCAAAAAGATAATTGAATATGGTACGGTATGTTAAACAATCATCATTGCAAAATCAATTGAGGTAAAAACTTTTTAGCATAGACCGGTTCCATAAATGTACTGGCTTCCTCATGAAAAAAAAAACAAGATAATTTGATCTTCTGAATTTGTTTGATTCAAACTATTGGCCTGCAAACTGATACTCGCTTTACACTTACTCTTTGATTCTTATAATTGCTAAATCTAGGACCAGTTAACAATCTGTCATTACAATAGCCCGCCTTTATAACGGCATTTTTTCCAAACATTTTGCTTTCTAGTGTTGGTCAAGTCTACTGCGTTGAATTAAACTGCATCGGTACCGCAAAACTAGCCTCAGCTACAGATGTTTCATTCGCTGGGTTGTATATGATCTGGTTTTTATTGGCAGCGAGCCAGTCTTTGAAAGACGTCAACTGAGGGTTCAATTCTCGAGTGCTTTCGACTGGGCGAGCCCCAAGGAAATAATCTTGGAAGTCATGAAAGAACTGAAAAGTGTTCCCCAGAGCAACAAAGCTGGATCCAAAGCCACGATAGACATCATAGGGCACTGCTTTGTATACAACTGTTTCACCGACAACTTCAGACATCTGTGATGCCATTTCGGCACCAGAAAGTTGTTCTGCCGCCACGCCTACGTACTTTCCAATAAGCTTGGGACCTCGCTTGAAAATTCCGTAAGCTGACTTTCCTATGTCTTCGGCAGCAATTGAAGGCAATTTCTTGTCACCTAAGGGCAAATTGAACACCAACGATCCTTCCTCTGTCCTTTGAGGTCCCATCTTATATGTGACGATGTTTTCAAAATAGAAAGGGGTCAGAAAATATGTTGTGGGAACCCTCAACTCCTCGAAAAAGGTGTCTGATTCTCCCTTTGCGTCAAAATGCGGCACTTTGTAGTTTCCCATGAGCGTTGGCATGGAATCATCGTCAATCGGAATCCAACGTCGAGTGTCCTCCTGCGTTGACCAGATCACGTGCTGGACACTTGCCTCTTTGGCTGCTTCAGCCATGTTTTTAGCTTGTTTCATTTCTCCTTCTGGACTAAAAGTCTCGTAGAAATTGGTCACGCAGTAAACTCCAAATGCTCCCTTGAAAGCATGCATCAAACTTTCTTTATCGTTCCAGTTGCCTTGGACAACCTCACATCCTTGAGCCAGTAGAGCTTTAGCTTTAGCTGAGGAAGGGTCTGACGTGATAGCTCTAACAGCGAATCCCCCATCCGGATCGTTGAGAATGGCTCGGACAAGTCCGCCTCCTTGATAACCCGTTGCACCAATCACAGCTACAATCTTCTGCTCAGACATTGGCACAAATCCTACCATGAAAGATTCAAACTATCTAGCTTTTCCTTTTCTCTCTTTAACTGCTGTTCCGAGCCACTCTGGGGGTCAGAACTCACAACGGCGTAAGGTGTTTGTTTTTCAATGCTCGATCTTTGAATAAAATAGAAACAACGCAACAACCGCGATGCCTCCCTTTTTCTTTTAAATATTTAAAATGAACTTGAGAGAAAAGAGAAGTTCGGTTTATAGGCAACAAATTGATGCAAGCAGTTATTGTTGAATTCTAACGATAACACTCAGCCTGCTGAATATTTGAAAAATCTAGATGTACACGGTTTCTGTTACTCGAATCTAGCGTTGTGAAACATCAGATATTTGCAGAAGGAAGAACAACGCTTATATTCGATTGGCATAGATCTTAATGATGATAAAGACTACTTAGCTTATATTGAAGGATTACATAAGATAAGAAATTGGTTTAGCATTGGTTCAGAGGGCAAGCGGGTCTTAATTCAGCGTATCAAAAAAAAATACTACAACGACAAAAACTTATCATAATATAATAACAAACTTGTTTTTAAGAAGGGACCATTTTGTTTATTGGTATATTTGCAACTGGTATAGATTCCATAGATTTTCAATAATGGCGAGCGTAATAAAGTAATGAGAAGTTTTAATGAGGAACAAAAATCTACTCTCGAAATGATTCAAGAAGACTAGCGCACGACTCGCACCTCCTGTGCTTCAAATAGATCGTTGAATGTAAAAAAGAGCTTCCTAAAACAGTCATTTTGGAGGGAAAAATTGCCACCCGAGTGGACCCTGAGAGCACACCACTAGTGTTGAGATTTACAAGTTCCGTTAGATTTTTTTATATCTAGCTTTCTTGAAAATCAAAATATTAAAGACGGCATATCAACAAAACCAAAAAAAATCTGAGCAGTCATATTTAGACGCCAGCTTTGCAACCCTTGAGTGGACCCTGACAGCACCCCACAATAAGGTTGAGAATTTCAAGTTTGACTAGCGTGAACCGCACCTCCGGTGCTTCAAATTTTCAACAACTCGAAAAAAAACTAATCTTTGAGTGTACTCTGACATCACCCAATTACAGGGTTTGTAATTAAAAAATTTTTATTCAATTTTTTTATACAAATTTTGAAGAACCATAAAATTTTATGAAGTTTTGTATACGTTCTTCGAAAAATTTAAAATGAACTGAAAACGTTACATCTGAGAAACTGAAAGTAATTTAGCAGTCGCATTTGGACGCAAGATTTGCAACTCCTGAGAGTAACTTCAAATTTTGTAAAATTTTTCATTTTATTTTTTTATTCAAATTTTGAAAACCATAAAAATTTGTGACATTTTTTTATATCCAAGTTTATAAAAAATTAAGAAACGTCACATCTGGGAAATTAAAAGCAATTGAACAGTCGCAATTGGATGCAATATTTGCAACTCCTGAGAGTACTCTTACAGTACCCAACTACAATGTTGGGAAATTCAAATTATGAGAAACTTCACCTTAAGTTTTCTAACACAGGTATTTTTTTGAAAACCAGAAAAAATTCACATTTCGAAAACTACCAAAATTTGAGCAGTCTTTCTTGATGCCATTATTCGCAATCTTTGAAAGTACACAACTACAGGGTTGGGAATTTCACTAACGAAATATTTTGTAATTTGAGTTTTCTGGAAAATTCCAAAAAAATCACAAAAATCGTCGTATCTCTTAAACAAAAATGATTTGGGCACTCTTACTTGGAGGCCGAATTTGCAACCCCTGAGATTACTCTGACAGCCTCCCCCCCTCCTCCCCAACTACAGGTTAAGAAATTCAAACTTTGAGAAAAAAAATTATTCAATTTTCATGAAATTTTTTTTGAAAAAATCACAAAAAACGTCATATCTGGAAAACTGCAAGATTTTGAGCAGTCCTATTTGGAGGCGGAAATCGCAACTCTTGAGAGCACCCTGGAAGAGCCTCACTACAAAAATAATAATCTCAAGTTTTGTGGAATTTTTTTAGATTCAAAAAAACGTCATATCTCGAAAACTACAAAGATTTGAGCAGCCATAATGAAAGGCAAGATTCGCAACCCCTGAGATAACCCTCACAATATCCAAAAATAGGATTGAGATCTTCAACGTTGTGGAATTTTTTAAATCTAAGTTTTCTGAAAATTTTTTTGAAAAAATCATAAGCGTCATATTTCGAAAACTACAAGGATTTGAGAAGTGAGAATTGAAGGCGAGATTCGCAACCCCTGAGAGTACCCTGACAGCACCCAACAACAGTGTGAGAATTTCAAAAAAGGAGAAGTTAATTAAAATTAAATTTTCTAGAATTTAAAAATTGCCTATCTCGTAAACTAAAAGGATTTGTTTATTCATATATGGAGGCCAGAATCGCAAAACGTGGAAAAACTGACAATATCCTACTACTGGGTTGCTAATTTCAAACTTGATGAAAAAAACACTGAATTTAAACTGGAAAATCGAAAAAAAAATTTAATCATTGCAATATACGATAAAGCTTAAACGTGAAAAAATTCATTTAATAAACATGCGAAAATAATACGTTGAAAAGACTTAAACATGGCGAGAAAGTGAAGCCCGCATTTAAATATATAATAGATAATAGATTTGACAGAAGAAAGTTTAAAAAAATTAAAAAAATTAAAAAATTAAATTGATAAAGACATAATCAAAGTAATTTAAAAAAACTGAAATACAGACAGACAGACATATTCAGAGGAAAGATTTTCAACCCCATGAGAGTACCCTCACAGATTCAAATAACAGGATTGAGATTTTCAAACTTTTGGAAGTTTTCAACATCTAAATTTTTTTTGAAAATTTCACAGAAAATCATAAAAAACGTCATATCTCGAAAACTACATGGATTTGAGCAGTCATATTTGGAGGCAAAAATCGCAACTCCTGAGAGTACCCTACAGAGCCTCACCACCGAGATGGGAATATCAAATTTTGTGAATTTTTTTATATCTGAGTTATCTGAATATTTTTTTCAAATCCCAAAAAAAAACGTCATATCTCGAAAACTACAAGGATTTGAGCAGCCATAATTAGAGGCAGAGAGTCGCAACCCCTGAGAGCAAACTCACAAAATCCAACAGCAAGACTAAGATCTTCAAGGTATTGGAATTTTTCAAAATCTGTTTTGAAAAAAAAATTTTTTAAAATCATAAAAAACGTCAGATCTCGAAAACTACAAGCATTTGGTTATTCTTTTGTAAAGATGCAAAAAAATACGAAGAAAAAGCTTAAACATGGCGAGATAGTCAAGCGCGCATTTAAATGTATAATCAATTTGACAGAAGAAAATTTTTAAAAAATTAGGAGACGGGTAGACAGACATAATCAAATTAATTTAAAAAAGCAGGTATACAGACAGACACTTAATTTGGCCTCGAAAAAATTTACTGAAAAATTAACGACCTTGCCGAAAACTAAATGAAACATTTTCTTAAGCATTGCAATATATGGTATAGCTTAAACATGAAAAAATTCGTTCGTTAAACATGCAAAATTATTATGATTAAACATAGGAGATAGCTGTCACTAGCATTCAAATATAGTATAGATAGATGTAAATGAAACTTTTTACATCAATAAAAAAATCATTAACACTATACAGCAGTATACATTGGACGCCAAATTTCCACTTCTTGAGTCTACCCTGACAGCACCCCACTGGACGGCTGAGAATTTCAAGTTTAATTAATCTTTTTAGATCTAAGTTTTTCGAAAAAAAAAAAATGAAAAACCAAAAAAACGCCATATCTCGAAAACCAAAAAGAATTTGAGCAGACATATTTGAACGCCAGATTTTCAATTCCTGAGTGAACCCTGACAGCACCCCACTATAGGGTCGAGAATTTCAAGATGTTAGTTTTTTATCTATTAATTTTTGATAAAAATTGTAAAAGTCAAAGAAGGGCTATATCTCGAAAACCAAAATTATTTGAGCAATCATACTTAGACACCAGATTTGCAAGCACTAACTGTACGCTGACAGCACTCCACTGTAGGATTGAGAATTTCAAGTTAGATTAATTTTTTTTTTTAATTTTTTCGAAAAACAAATTGAAAAAATCATAAATACGCCATGTCTCGAAAACCAAAAAAATTTTGAGCAGTCATATTTGGACGCCAGATTTGCAAATCCTGAGTGTACCGTGACAGCACCCCACTATAGGGTTGAAAACTTGATAATTTGTTGAATAAATTGTGGAACAAAAATTTTGATAGTTTTACGTTGCGAATGAAGGAAAATGTAGTCAGAGCATTCGCGCTCCATCAGACTTTCAAACGTCAACTTGAGTAATCATTTAAACCCTTGCAAAGTTTTGGCCTTTTAAGAGGCCAACATAGCGACATCTTAAACATGTGCTAAGTGAAATTTCTTAAGCATTACAATATACGATATAGCTTACACCCGCAAAAGTTCTTTCGCCAAACAAGCGAAAAATAATACGTTGAAAAAGCTTAAGCGTGTCATCATAGGGACTTCTTGAACTTGTGTCAAGTGAAACTCCAATTAAGTAAATATATATAAATAAGTTGGTTTTACAAACAAACACAATTCATGTGAGAAAGTCATTCCTGGAAAGAAAATATTTTAAAACAGAATTTGAAATATGATAAAACTTTCCAAAAAGTTTACACAGAAAATCCATTCAATCGCTTTTGTATCCATTTGATCCGACAAAAAAGTCACAGAAGAAGCTGATATTTCTAGAGAATTCTGGGCTCAAAAATACAAAAATGTAGCGTATTACTTACAAAAGCTCACAAAGCTTAAAGGACTAGCACACATGACGTTACTTCGCAATCTCAAGAATCTCAGTAGATTTTAATCATAGCTGGAAATTTAGCTGAAACGGATAAATTATAATTACAAAAAAACGAGCAAGAAAAAAATTACAAAATTACCTCACTAACTATAACAGAGAAAAATTACCGAAAGCAAATGGATCTAAAACACTCAAAACTGGTTGCTGCGCAAGGAGAACAGAAAGTTCTAGCCACAATATTGAAATTCAAAAAAATAATAATAATTAAAAAAACTCATTTTAATTATCGAAAAAAAATATTGTCTAAATATCCTTTTTCGAGATAGATCTTCAGTAAGGGTTTCAATTGGCAGAATTCCGTGTTGGGATCATTATTTGCGGTTACCTGATTTAGCGTTTAACACAAAAAAGCAGAAGCAAAGAAAAAAACTAAAATACATCCGAATACCAAGTTCCTCTGCATTTTTCAAACGGCCGGAACAAAAACCACACCTAGCACACAGTTCAAATTTATATCAAGTTCTATAATTGTAGCGCGTTCCTGTGCAAGTAGCACAGAAGAAACCGATAATTTGAGAAATTTGAAAAAAGGCTTTCAATTCTTTAATCTTTCAAAACTGTGTCACTTTTTGCGCGTGATAACGAAAAAAAAACTAAGCTTAGAAAGAATCGTTACAAATTCAGTGGATCCAATTTAGCTTTGCAAAACCTAAGCATTAATGATTTATCAATCACATTTTCCCAGTTAAGTTTCTTACCTTTTATGACAGTAGGTCCAATTTCTTCAAATTTCTGTATTTCCGTTTGTATCAATTTCGAAAATTTTTGAATCAAAATCGGTGCAAAGCTCCTCTTAGAATCTAAACTTATACATTTTTGTGTTTATTTTCCACATTGTGAATGTATTAGTTAATCAACATACTTAACTTCAATTACAATAAGTCTACCTCCTGGCTCTACAATTCAACAAGCATATTTCCTGATTGTGACGTCCGTTCATGACGCCATGCTTTTGATATTTGCCATTTTGGTACAAACGACCATGTAATTCACCTCAACAATAAACTGGAGCTCAAACTGATATTTGTTAACTATGTAAACATTGATAACTAACTGTACCAACCATGAGAGAGAGAGAGAGAGAGAGAGAGATTTAACCGAGCTGTCAACCAACTGACCAGATAGAAAGGGAATAAATTATTCCAATCATGCTCTGACTTGCTCCGATCGACGAGATAGAATCTAGAGGAATATGTCCGACCCAAGCATCCCTCAGTGCAAGATATGCCTAACAGCTCGAAACATCAAAACGATATAAATACTGATACCCGGTAGAACTAAATAATAACATAACAGCTCGAGGACAACCTACGGCTAGACCAATTATCAGACAGGAAAAACTGTATATGACATGGTGACGGCGTTGGAGACTCTATTTCTGGATTCAAGACCAGTCGACGGCAACTAAAGACTACAGCAGACCTTGACGACAGACACGTGCTGAAGCTGAACAGAGCAAAAGAACCTGTTTCACACAGCAAGGCTCAGATGTGGGTAGCAGAGCAACAATCATTGATCAGCTGCGACAGGCAGGGAAGAAAGAAGACAACTGCGAACTGTCACCAACCCCTGTTTGACAAACTTTTCAACTTGAAGAAGCAAAGATGCAGATTGTGACTTACATCGCTACTTTTGGTTACAGTAGGATGGTTTGTCAAGTGAGCTACTGACCCAGCAAAAAAGGAATCAGATGATTCACTTTCATTCACCTTAAAAAAGACGGCACACGCGCAAATTTCGGTCGAGCATTTCGTAGGAACGGAGAAAGAAGATTTGCAATTCCAGCAATTGTTCCAAGGATACATCGGAGTAGCAGCCTTACCAGCAGTACAACAAGCGAACTTCTTGCAACCACATCTACGAGACGATGCGCTACGATTCTACCAAACTCTCCCAGCCATCAGAGCGAACGTCCCGAACAGTCTTGCAGCCTTGAGGGATCAATTTTGCAATCTCCAGCTCCAAGAAGTACACGTCCTGACGTTAGAGCAACACGATTCAACCGAAAAGCAGATACGCCTGAAAACTTCCTGGTGAGCCTAACAAAAAAAAGCGCACCGAGCGTATCTAACACTAGATTTGCCGGCCGTAGCCCCAATTGACGGTGCAGCAGCAGATGCGGCGGTAGAAGCAACGCGCTTCCACGCAGAAACAGCTCAGAGGCAAGAAAGATTAGACGCAGTAAATGGCAATCGAAATGAACAAATCAAACGATTGTTCATAACAGGAAAGCCAGGCTGGTTGAGATTAGAACTAATGCTATCTACAACACGCATATTTCCTGGCTTTGAAGTTCAGCACCCAAATTTTGTTGTTTAATTTCAATAACTGCATTTGACTTTCAACAAGCCTTAATCAATACATTGAAAATCATTGAACCTGCATTTAACCAGTTAAAAATATCAAAAAACCTGCATCGAAACTCAGTACGTCACTCAAATTCTTTCTTTTAGATATGTTACTCAACGATCCATTTACGATAAGACTTTTTTTAAATTATCGTTGCGTTGAAATTGCACGCAGTTTGTTGACATTGAAGCGGTTTGCTGAAATTCAACAATGGGAAGGTTGACATTAAATGTCAGGAAGTTGATTTGTTGATATTAAAGTTAAGTTTCTTGAATTCTGTAATCAAGACTTGAAATTAAAAGCAAAAAGTATAAACAACGATAGTTCTGGTTTTGGACCCTGTATACAAATATAAACGGCTGTCTACAAACAATTACTAAATGAGAAACAACAGCCATAGTCTCTTTCCAAAATTTCAAGACACAGTTACTATTAATAGTTTTTCACTCATACCTCTAATATTTCCGACTAACGTATTACAGCTGCGGCTAAGACAACTTTCAAGATCTTTTGATCTTTTTTTGCACAAAATTGGCTAGATGTTGAATGGCTGCAAGGAAAAAAATAGAAAATCATTTTTTGGAAGAGGTGATATCGTTTAATACCCCCAAGCCTTGGTAGCCGTCAAAGTTCAAAAACACTTCAACTAAATTAAATTTGATGAAGGAAACACTTACAATTACTAATATCTACTACAATTTCAATGTTTCCAGCACACCATCAAATATTCAAAAGTTAAGCTGAAGTTTATGCAATTATTTGTTAGAGAAGCAAACCAGTATATTTATTTCATTATGGCCGACTCCCTTTTGAGTTTTCGCTTCACTGATCTCTCTGCGTATATTAAAGTCCATCATAAAGCAAGTCAATGCTCATTGCCAGACTATTACAACGACCCTTCAATGCTTATCGCTCTAAATAGGAACAACTATCTCATTTGTAGAATTCGTACTTAGCACACCGAATCACTGATAACTTGCCCATACATCGCTGACTTGCTGAACCCGCAAAGGTCATAACAGAACTGTCTTGTAGTATCTATACCGTAACTAACAAGCGGATCGTATTGTAAAGCTGATTCGGTTAAATATGTCTTAAGATCGTCAGGACATTGCAATCTTGAGAAATTCTGAGTGGTATGGCGACAAGTCATAAAAGGCACTTTATCTCTGATATCTTCTTTAGTAACATCAAACAATTTCGGATTTTTTCTCCTTTTCGAATACGTTTTAAATGTTTCCTCTTCTGTGAATTCAAATAAAGACTGTTCAAACTTCTTAGTTCTCGACTTAATAATGTCATTGTCGGACTTTCTGTTATGACAACAGTACAGAGCCGCAGGGTCGATTAAGTGCGCTTCTGTATTGAAAATGTATCCAGCTGTATTGAAAAGACAGAGCGATCCATCGTCTAAGTAAGCCTCGCGAGGCTTCATACCTTCCGAGTTTACGAAATTATCAGTGTCAAAAAGAAGGTACAAATACTTTACAGTTTCAGCTAGGAAAAATGACTCCATTTGATCTTCAAGCGCGTGATCAGTTACTCGATCCAAGTGCGCATAGCCGAAATCAACTTTAGCAGAAGATTCAATTGACTCAAAAAACTGACGTCCAACACTGAGGTAAAAGGGATCCTTAGTAGCTTGGAACAAATAGTACGCACTTTCGATCAGCTCAGGACGTAGTGGGTATGACTCTTTTCCTTTCAGCACTTCTTGTTTTTGGATATTCATAAACTCGGGCACAAAGCCGTAATAGTTCCAAAGGGAATAATAGTTGGCAAACGAGCGCTTGGCATAATCAATATCGCCATAAAGAGTCATTAAACCAGGCCAGAATGCTTCTAGTGAATTGAAATAAGGCATAACTGGTTTTCCTGAATTCAAAGACACCCAAAAATGCCAGTCATCTTTGTTCATGTTACTTTTAATACTTGCGAGTAAAACTTCAAACTGATTAAACATCTCTTTATTTCCTGTTAAAACTGAACCTTTGAGCAGATACTCGAAATATGAGTCAATCCCTCCGCCAATAGTTGAGTCAGTATAAACCCAAGCGCCGCTCGTAACATTCACATGATTACCCACAAGATCTACTCCAGATCTATACAAAAAGAGAGAATTCAAGGCTCTCAAGGCTGTCTCCTCATAAACCGAATTGCCAGTTAGCCTACTAAGTGTCGCAAACTCCAGATAGTAGGTCCCAACACAGGCTGTACAAGTAACAGGGGTTTCTTTAGGGTTTACACCGTTTTTCAAGTTGACAGTACCGTACGGCATTCCTGTGGGCGTATCGAACGCAGGTAATAACTTGTCTGCCAGTTTTTGGGCTTTACGCAACAAAGGTCCATCACACGGCCAATTTTTTGCCCGGACTCCCAATTGGTTAAACATGAGATGTCCACTGAGAAGTCCTCCGAGGACTCGGATGTTTGTCTCGAACAAAGAAACGTTGATGTCCATGTCGAAATCCAACGTGTTTTCAATCACATTAACAATTCGGCTAAATTCGCTCGCATTTCCCAGAACGGCTAGCGTGTCGAGTGCGTCTATGAGAGTAACACTTACACCTCCGTAGGTATTATGACCCGTTCCAGAAACTGGCTTCAGCTCATCTCTTGGGTATGCTTTTAGTATGTAATTGTCGTACGCGTAATAAAACATGGCTTTAACTTGCTCCTTGTAGCTTCTCATGTACTCTTGACTCCATTCCGAGCTCAATATTTCATCCTGCCAGGAGACAGAAATAGAGCAGAGAAAAAAGAGGAAGAAAAACATAGTACGGTCACATTAACTAATCTTCAAAGACGACACATTATAATCCAACAAGGATAGGCTGTTGCTATGAATAGACTGTTAAAAATTAGTACAGAATGTTCCCAAACACAAAAATGTACGAAAAATTTTAACCTCAGAAAATAATTGGCTGAACCTTTTTGTGTAAATTACCAGTAGTTAGAGGCGATTACGAGAGATAAGAGCTGAAATAACTCAAGATGACTAGTAAATAACTCACGATGAGTAGTAATCTGAGAATTGGCCGGGTATTTTTCGAGCAAATCAAAAACTTATCAAAAAAAGACAAAAAAAAATTAGAAAACTTTAGTTTTCCGAAAACCATGTTTTTCAAAAAAAAAATTAGGGTGTATCCGCTTAAATAGGGAGAATTCCTAAAACCGGGTTTCTCAATTAAACCTTTAACCTAAGAACTGGCAGGGTAGTTTCAACTACTTGATTTTTCTGAAAGCCATATTTTTTTTCTGAAAAAATTAGAGCGTAGTATATCAGACCCTTAATATTAGAATTGGCATTGTAGTTTTCGAGAAAAACTGATAAACAACACGGTCAAAAATTCAAAACTTGATTTTTTCGAAGGCCATATTTTTTTCTACAGAATTTAGGGAGATTACACCTTTAATTCCATATTTGCAAGGGTAGTTGACGAGAAAAGTGTCTGTAAACTTTCAAAACCCCAATATTTGTCATTTTCCAAAGCCATAACATTTTTTGTAGAAAAATTTTGGCGACCTCTGTGCAGGTGAGCTTCTCATAACCTGTTACTTCATTTGAATTCATAACCTCAGACATAACAGGGTAGTTTTCGAAACAAAAAAATCATAAACTCATTGCTGAACATTTACAACAGAATGAAATCTCGTTGCTAGAACGCTGTGGAACTTCAGACGCCTCTGAAACGCCGTGGAACTTTGCAGTCCATTTTCAGGCGCCTCTAACTCGTTTGAAATAAAAAGAAGTTCTAAAAATGGATCAAAATCCCCCAGAGAAATTTTAAAGCGCTAGAACGTGGGTAAGGTGAAAGACTGGCAGAATATGCAGGGGAGTAGCCGCTCTTTCCATTGGTACCACTTTTTAGAAAATAAGTTGAGTAGTTTTTTTAAGAAAAACTGAAACTTTTGCGAAAAATGTGATGTTAGAGTAGTCCATAGCTCCTGTCTATCGTAGGTAAATAAGAAGCTCTATGTAGTATACGCTCAACATTGAGCGGAAAAGCGCAGAAACTACAATGAAAAGGTGATAGAGATAGAATGCGGTACTCTGACTCCTCTAGTATTCTCTTCAGCAGGAGGAGCCGGCAATGAATCGCAGAAATTTATAAAGCGGCTAGCGTATCTGGAATCCCAGAAAACTGGCGTTTTCGTATGCTGAAACAATTCGCAACCTCAGAAGTGAGAATAACTTTTCACTCTTGAAATCAGCAGTGACGGCTCTCAGAGGTTCGCGGAACCTACGCGAAATGACAGACTTGAACTAATTATTAAATATCTTTCTACTCTTCATTTACTTTTTACATTATGCAGTGCAGTAATTCTTTTTTCTGAAATGTATACAAAGTTATAGTTAATTTGAATGCTTTCACGGTCCTCTTTCTATCAAATCTGGCGCTATTTCTAGTTTCTTTATGTGTTTTTGTAGTTTTTTTTTCTGAATTTACTTTTTTTGTTTAAAATTCCAAAGCGTCTCAAAATTAAAGAGAAGATAAAACCAAATCCCGGAATTAAACAGGAATTCAGGTGAAATTTGTCTCTGAAATTATATTTGTTGCTGGCTTCCAATCTTTTGTTTCGATTTCATTTTGCTTGATACTCACAGACCCAACTACTGATGAATGCATGAGTCACAAAAGTCTAGGCTCTTCATGAAAGAATTGACCAAGAAAGGTTTTAATAAAATGTTATATTGATACTAACTACAAATGGCAATAAACTTTATCAAGCGTTTTCAAATAATTAAAGATCTTTCAAGATGGTAAATTACTAGTCATTTACGGACTCTTGAATCAACCAATTACTTTGCTTTAAGTTAGTTTCAGAAGTAATAATAGGCAATTTATTTATCCAGTGCACTCTCCATGATACAAGAGACGATTTAAACTAATTGAAGCACCATCATTGCTTTGAGTGACAAAAACAAATGCTCCCTGGTTATCAAAACAAAATTTTAAACAGCCAGGGAACGCAATTTGACTAGGAAATAAACCGAATAGATTTAAGCTAAAATAGAAAAGTTTTGCAGTCAAGCCAGCGAGAAGAAATCTAATCTTCAACGTCTACTGTATTGTTTTCAGCGAATGTAACGTGGTTTACAACTACGTGTTTAGGCATTTCCTCGGAAAATACCAAGTCATTCGAGGTCGAGCTTTGTGGTCTAGCGGCACTCGTTGATGCCGCTGAAACGTCATCAGAGGCTGCTGTCTCGTCGTTTAGCAGAGAGCCATGTTCGTAATCAGATGCTTCAGCATTTGGGTGCTGGGGACATTTTCGATTCACTTTGAACCAGTCGTCAATGCACTTCTTGTGGTATATGCAAAGGCACGGTAGGCGAGCAATACATTCGTCTTTCAGAAAGTCTTCAAAACATATTACACATTCCTCATCCTTGTCGTTTTCCAACTTTTCTACGTTGTAAGTCAGCCGTGGTTTTGTTAAACAGTGAATGACGTGTGCCTGAAATTGTTCAGAGTCAGAGCTCATTTGTTTACACAGTGGGCATCTGAGTCCCGACATCAAAACTGATTGCGTCAAAAAAGCTCGAAGTGCAGCAGCCTGTCGTCTTGATGTCGAGTTCATTTCGGGCCTCGAACTGGAATCTTCATCGGATTCGTCCTCACTTGAACCCTGTCCGTAATCAAAATGAACAGATCGGGCTCTAAAGCGGTCGTAACGAGCACTTCGACTGTCGTTATTTCTGTTAATAGCTGCTAGTCGGGATGCAGACCCTCTACGACTAGATTGAGGAGAAGTCGATGATTGCGTTCGAAGTCTGGAAGATTGTCCCGCTTGCTGACGCTGACTGACTCCCGAGGCTAACATCATTCCATTGTTGCTACTACCTGCAACTCCACCAGAACCATGGACATTGCTTGTGCTAGCTTTAGCTCCCATAAATAACTTGAAAAAATACAATGTTGTTTGTAAGGAAGGGATTCCCACAGATTCATATATACCACAGCAAAAATGGAACACAAACCCGAAGTTTCACTTCGCATACACAAGCAAAAATAAGACCGATAACGCTACTGTGAAAAACTGAATGAGTAAAACTTGGAGTCTACAAAATTTCTTAAGTGACGCACGCCAATTATGACGCATTAGCAGTACCAGTCAATTTAAAAAAAAGATATTTACCAACTAACATACCTCAATTTATAGAGCAGTCTATGGAGCAGTAACAACATGAAAAAATGCGGAATGAAATTCGGAATAAATACCCAGTCCGACTACCTATGGATGGACTCAACTACCTGGAGACTATAGGAGGAAACTCCTTTACGTTTTATAACGTATAAATTCTTAATAATAATAATAAGTCGGAATGAAATTTTTTTTATTAATTTGAAATTTTTTGTAAAAATCATCCCCCCACACGCCATATTGGTGCGTATTCATAGGTTCCAAAATGAAAAATCAGTCCCATAGGTTCCAAAATAAAAAAGCAGTCGCATAAGTTCCAAATCTTTTCAATTGGTCAAAGACTAAATTAGCCGAGTCTCGGTTTAAGGTCGCCGGTGGGCTGGTTGAACAGTTATGCTGGTTGAACAGTAAACAATCAATCCATAAATTCGTTGGCTCAAATTTCACCCAATCAGAATTCAAGAAGATAAATTTTGGAACTTATGCGACTGATTTTTTATTTTGGAACCATTTAATATTGAAACCTATGGGAATTCACCGCCATATTAAGTACGAATTAACCCCCACACGCCATATTAAGCTTACGTAGCAGTATTTAGACAACCGCGTATTCAGACTCGTCAGTATTTAGACAAATACTGTATTAACCAATCAGAATTGAGACAAGGAAGAAATGAATAATTAATAATTATTTATTTCGTGAATTTGCTTTCTCATCTCGATTCTGATTGATTAATATGGTAATTGTCTGCTTACTGACGAGTATGAATACGCTGTTGTCTAAATACAGACCACTCTCCCCCTATTAAGTACATATTAACAAATCAATCATCCCCTCACACGCCATATTAAGTACATATTATCAAATCAATTATGGCAAATAAGCTTCCTTCAACCAATTTGGAACGATTTCCAAGACGGATTCAATCTCCGCTTACGCGCTAATAGCGCGAAATATATTGGGCATCAATTGTCGGAAATTGGCCAAAATGGTAATTTTTAAACCCCCATCACTTTACGAAAAGTGATCACAGGTGAAATGTCTTTCCAAACTTAAGCTCAGGATAACAATACTTTTTGAATGATATAAAAAATTCCCGTCAAAACTGGCTAGATTAAAAGTCGAAATTTGTCTGAAGAAGAAAAAACTACCCCGAGCACAAATATTCCGTTATTTCCGTTACGAAAGTCGGAATAATAGTCAGTGTTAAAATCCTTACCATTATTTGTACTTAATAGCTGGTTATTGATTAAAATGAACACTTTCAAAATAGACACATTTTATCGCAACAATAATTGCGTCGCAACAATATTTGCAACTTAGGAGAAAAAAAAAACATAATTCATAATATAACTTCTCGTTTCCAAATTTAAGCCAGGAAAATAATAATAATAATAATCATAATAATAATAATAATAATAATAATAATAATAATAATCATAATAATAAAGGATTTAGGAATATAATCCAAGGGTTCGCATGAAACGATTTAACGCCAAAGCTCGATTGTTCGCATAAAATGATTTAACGCCAAAGCTCGAACGAACTCATTTGCAAGTAAGAGCTGAAAGATGAGAACTGAGTTTTATTATTAACTTTCATCTTTAGTCTGAATGAACAACAGTATTGTTTACTGTGCAAGTTACACAGAAATCACAGATTATGTATCAAAAAAACCTAAACAAGGAAGGAGTTTTGCCTAATTAATGGGATAAACTAATTATATAGATCTGTAAGGTTCGACGAACTGGAAATTTATTGAGTAGCCCTTAAAGTTCTTTCGTAAGGGATTTCAGCGATCCAGTGCATATAAGTTATTCTTTGATGGAGGACGTAGCCTTGACAACGCTTAGAAAGCCTTCGATTACAAGAAAAACAAATGGAACAGACGCATCAACATTGTCAAAGGCCTGTCGCTAAATTTAAGAACAAGGACGACTCTTCATTCTTTTATAGCCTAATTGTTGTGATAAAGAAATTTTTGCTAAAAAGTAAATTTCGAACGTTTTTGTAACTATGTGCATCGTCAGGATTTTTACAATAAACTAATCTAAATGACGATAAAACATCAATTTACTAATGTTATTTACAATAAATCAGATACAATTTGGTTCTAAACCATCGTGATAAAAAATTAGCCAATCACAGTTGACCTCTAATTTACTATTGAGATTAAAATACTTTTAACCTCTAAAATTAATAAAACATTTTAAAATTATTTTGTCTGGAAGTTTCTGAGTCATAATTTCGATTTAGACATGTACGTTTTAAATAAAAAACCAAAAATATTTTGGGACTAAATTTTCAGTGTTAACTCCCTGCTCCTAAACTCATCGCGCGTGTTCAAGCCCGGTTTCTTTTTCCTGATATGTATTGCCTCTAGTGTTAGCAATTTTGTTTGGTTGTTTGACCTATCTATAATTTCCCAACTAAGAACTACGCTATTCTATTCTTTTAAATACTTGTAAATGCTTTTTATCAGTCAAGAGTTATAATATTTTCCCCAATCTAAACATTACTTTCAGAGCTAAAATCTTTCAAAACGATGATTTTCACTTTTCTTGCTATAGTTTTAACGTTTTCAGTTTTTTGCTCTCTGCTAAATTGTTTGTTTTTGCCACAACATTACCCTACGTGTGGCAAATTTATGGCTGATCAGAGGCATTGCCATATTTGCAACCGCAACCTCAGAAAAGAAGGCATTTTGTGCGTCATTTGCACAGCATAAATCGACGTCCCATGTAGCGGGCTGATAAGCAGCGAAACTTTTTATGATGGGTTCTCCTTCATACAATGCAACCCCGAGAACTTGGCAAAAAGGTCTAACTCCATCAACAGACCACCAAGTACAGAGTCCATCACAACTCAAGAAGGAACATCTTCAGCAACACCCGAAACAAACATAGTCTCAAACGCAACACAAAATAATCCATCGCTCCAAGCAATCACAACAGTCTCCTCTGACCCCTGGAAGCTTAGCGACCAACAACTTAAAATTTATAAAACGTCCTTTTTAAATATGTCGTTAATTGGAAACAACGCAGCATAGTTCTAAGCAAGAACAAGACCAGTTTCCAATTCATGGAACTACTGAACGAGCAACAGTTGTCATTAGTAGAAGAAACACCAAATTCTAGCGTCACAAGGAAAACAGCAATGATTATCTACATCTACTGCTCCCCAAAACTAAATCAGAAACAAACGGCTTATAATCCGAAACTCTGAGCAACCCTATAATTTTGTCAAAGCCAGGCCTACTAGACGAATTTTTCATTGAAGCGAAAACTCTCCCAATAAAAAACCCAAAACATACGGAGTGCGAAGTAAAGTGGAAGTTAAAAATTCGATGAACAAAAAAGTTCAGGCAAAAAATCTGCCTTCATTGCTTGCCTTTCAGGCATGAAAACAAAAGGAATAGTTACCCTAATAGAAGTCCTTGGAGTAAAACGAGTCCTTAGTATCCTGGAAAAAAAATACCCCATAGCCAAAGCAGCAAAAACTAACTATATAACTGAAGTAAAAAAGACACATTGCCATTCCATACATAGGTGGAAGTGCATCTACTACATGACAGTTTATAAACCACTCTTGACTTGAGGTCATTAGAAAATGCTGACTTCAGTGATGGTAAACATGATTCTAGTTTTCTTGTGGTGAAAACCACTTGCACGTTAATTAATTTTCGTAACCTGTTAGCAAAATATTGGCTCTGGTTACCTCTATATTGCACCATCAGCATTGAGGGCTTCTCATCCTTTGGTGATTGAACTGACAAACACCTCTCACTATCCAGGGACTTGTCCTTGCCCTCGATGATCTTGCACAAGGCGTCTGAAGCCACCTTTGCGGACCAATTTTCAGGGTACTGATTTGTCAGCCATTGCGCCCTATTAGTTTCCATAGCCTTATCAAATTGCTCCCAGCTAGATGTACTCCTAAAAACCCTGTGTACAGTGCCTTGGATAACACTACGCTTAAACTGAGTTGGGGCGCAGCTTCTATAGTTCAGCATAGTCCCTGTATCTGTTGGTTTTTGATACCAACTGCGAGTTACACGCCTACCCTGCGATACATTTATGTTCAAATCGAGGAACGGCAAATTCCCCTCCGAATTAGTTTTCTCTAGAGTGAACTGCAAATTTGGATGAAGAGAATTGGCGGCATCGAGAAGACAACTCGGCTCCCCTCTGACTGTTCTAACAATGTCATCCACTTACCTGAGGAACAATTTCACCTGAAGAGTATCCTTCTCCTTGTTCTTAGCTCGGCAGCAGCTTTCACAGTACCAGATTATCTCGGTTATTGATGCGTATGCGTCATCATATTTTTTTCCGCATTTTAGATGATACCAGTTTCGGCAACTCTCGCATTCAACCCTCTTTGATCTATATGTGACTTTCCTGCTAAAACATGGGCACAAGCCGTTTTTGTCATTAACTTGCTGTACCTCCGTTCCCACCGGTATTTCTTGTCTTAGAGCAAACTCGTACTCATTCAGCCATAAGTTTACCAGAATTACAGCGAGGGACGCGCCCATTGCTAAACCATCAACTTGTACATACCATGAATCATTACATTTGAAATATACTTTGCTGACCGCCATATTCAAAAGCCTTTTCATGGTTGCTCTTTGAATTTCAGGAGGAGACTCCTGGCTGTACAGCTTCTGTAAAAGCAATTTCAATTGCCTCCTTCAGGGGAACGTTGGTGTACAAACTTTTCACATCCAGAGATATTATGGTTTCATCCG